GGCTTCTCTTCAACCCCTGCATATGCTTTGTACACATCCCTTGCCCTCTGAATCTTCATGCCCGCCCCATGCACATCTGGAGTAGTTCCAATCCCCATATATGCTTTCTCCTCCTCATTCTCGACCGCTCGCAGCGCAGAACTGATGATCAACTCTTGTGCACTGCTACTTGTTGCAGTTTCCGGGCTAGGTTCAGCCATTTTTCTTTCAACCCTAATTTATTAATCAAGGGAAGTGCGTGTTCAGAACTTTTGCAAGCTTCTTTTTATAAATACTCAAAATACGAAAATGGTATATACGCTTGGTGAAGAAGACTAAAGAATGGAGGATGTTGATGGCTGGACATGAAAAACCAGCTGGTTGCGGAAAATCCCAAGGGCTTCAAAAGCCTCGGTATGTCCATATATATGTAAATGCGAATAGAGGAAGGGTATAAGTTTGGCATCATTCTCAACTCTCACTATCTTTTATCATTTTTCTACCCCATACAGTCCAATTACTAATCTATCATACAACAAGGTGGCACTATATTCTTAATTTGTTTTCTTCATTAGGGTTTAAATATTTCACTCCATTAATATATTGTTGGTTGGGGTTTTTTGAGTGGACAGTTTCTTCATATCTCAAAAGGAAGACACACAATTATTAAACGCGTCTTATTTTTGTTATTTAACACTTTAATTATTTATCAACCGATGCTTTCGCCCTTTTAGTGCGATTGCGGAATGATTACAAAATACTTAGGGTCAGTTTGACATTGCTGTGCTGTGAAAATAATCGATGTCAGATTTGCTATGAGAGAAATCAGCTGTAAAGGAAAGCAATTTGGCATTTGGTAAACTTTTTGTTAAAAGTGTTTTTGGTACTAATTCCTGCATAATCATTATACCCAGCACCTCTTCGAAACTGATTCCTTCATAATCAGAAGATAAAAGCACCTAATTAGCTGTTTTCCTTTATAACTTTCTCTCACATCAATTTTTAACAATAAATGATTTTCTCATAGTTTACCAAATGAGTTGGGCTTTCCAAAAAAATTTAAAAATCACTTATCACCCCAAATAAGCAATACTAAACGAGCACTTAGGGCTCGTTTGAGAGTGATTCTGGATAGGTTAATAATTACTTATATGGAGAATCACTTCTGGATAAGTCAATAATCACTTTTATGGATAAGTACATAGGAGATAGAGTTGTCAATGGATCGGATTTTGATTCGGATTCGATTCGAATCCGATGTAATTAATAGGAGATGGATTTGGTGGCATAATTCAATAACCCGATTATGATCCAAATTCATTAACCCGTTAAGTTAACTAAACAAATATGAATCTTGCGTAATCTGATCCGATAATTATCCAATTTGATATAATATATATCTATTATTTTTTTCACTCACTTAATATATATTGTTTTCTCTAATATAGACGTCCACATTTTGTTAAACTACGGTTGTCCACTTTGCAACTTGTTTTTTTTTGCAGAAGAGGTGGATTTGATTCATGCAATTCCAATTAGCACACGTTGCGAGAGCCCTTGAGAGCAACCGATGGTACTGCTTCTTCTTTTGCATCTCCATATTCCCATATTTGGGATACTTTTTGGAGGGCCTACACCTCTGCCAAGGTGAAAGTAATCTTGCAACATGTATGCTTTTACTTGTATATATATATATATATATATTGGCAAATTTGTGGACAACCGTAGCTTAACAAAATGCGGACGTCCACATTAGAGCAAAACTATATATATGCATCTGTAACAATATTGTGAATTTTTGTAAATAAATAAAAATATTTTCAACTATTTGTATTTATGACATACAAAATTTGGATCGGGTTATTGGATCTGATATATGATAATTTAGCAAATCGGATATGGATCTAGTTGTGAATGGTTTGTCGGATTTTCAGATCGAGTTGGGTTGAAATTTTTTTGATTTCAGATCGAGTCGAATTTTAGGTGCGAAGTTCATCTTCGACCCATTTACAAGTTTAATGGAGGTGCTTCTCCCCATAATCTTTTAAAATCACTTAAAGTAATTATATGGAGAAGTATATAGGAGGTGTTTCTCCCCTAACTTCTAACCAGGTGATTCATCGACAAACAAAAATACCCAGTTTTCTAAGTTCATTTCTTGTTTTCAATTAGGTTCAAGGAGTTCAAATAAACAACTAAGAAAAATAAAGAGAGTTTGACTTGTAGGCCCTTGATGACTTTTTAGGATACTAATAAATTTGTGGGAGGTCCACCGGATGTGAAATTTTGATACCGTCATTGCTCCAAAAGTACGTTCTATGATGCTCTTAAGGGAAGAATGTTTGTGGTTGAATACTTTTTTGTGACCCACTGATTAGATATTGCCTCTACAAAAACCATAAAGATAATACCTTTACCTTTATATGTCTCTAAATACCCTTTTCATTTGTGGGTACCATGCATTCACTAGATCTGAAAAAAAAAAAAAAAAGTCCAACAATATGAATATTTCGCGAAAGAACTACTATTTGAAGGTTTAGGAAAAGTCAAAGTTTTATATAGTAAAACCAATAAGAAACCTTTGCATTGTAGGGCATGTCATCCCAAAATTGCACATGTAAATATGAATTGCATGTCAAAATTGTTTGCATGCATAATATTTTGAGTTTGTATTCCCCTCCTGCCAACAGTGGCGGATCCATCAAGGAGGAAGGGTGGTCAATTGACTCCTGAAACCCAGAATCCACCATGGGAGAGGAAGAAATTGATTTTATATCAATTTGTAAAATAAGTCTTTTCTAGACATCCATCTTTTGTTTTATATGCTGAAATGCAGAATATATTTTTGATATGGATATCTACGTATGTAGTTTGAATTTTAAACCGGATTATTATATATATATAAGTATATAACTATAAATCCAGGCCATTCTAATAATCTAAGCCTCAAATACACGAGGCATCATCAAGTTTTGAGTTTAGGGTTTTTATTTTTATTTTTATAATTTTAAATTTTTTTTATAAACCTGGTCAAAACAACATCGTCCTATTTAGGGTTTTTTTTTTAAATTTTTAAATTTTAAATTTATAAAAAATATTACCATACTGCTGCTCGATAAAACTCATTTTGGGAATGAGTTTTAACACAATTCTATCGTTCAAACCCAAATTCCCAACCCCCAAACCCCAGCCACCATCCCATTGTTGAATCCTTTATGGATGGCTTTTCTTTCCACAAGAACTCACGGTCTATTTTTTATTTACCCAATAGAAAGTTATAGTTTTCCTTGCCCTTGTCATAGGAGATACAGTAATCTGGCCAGAGAGCAGGTAAGTAAGAAGTTTGGCATATGATTGTAAGTGATCCCGTGATCTAATGGTAGGCCTTGCAAATTAATGATTGAAAGTGAGATTCGTTTTTAGGAAGAAGGGAGATGTGCCATTTTGAGTCAAATTTTTTTTTTCAAAATAGAAGACAAGCTTATATTAATAAATGGTTGTTGTTCCACAAATTCCAACTACCCAAAAGACTAATCAGTTTTTCAGTGTATTGACTCTCAATAGCTTATATGTTAGTTTTAAGCTTCTTAATTTTTGTTCCTTTGGTTTTCACTATAAATCAATGGTTTTATTTGATGTCTATCATCCATCACACGTTTTAGCATATGCGTTTGAGTGGCGATTTTTCTCAATTACGGATCTTTTTTTGTCAAAAAAATAAAAAATAAAATTGTGGGCTTTTACATATTGAATCCTAAAAAGAAAATTCATGGATCCACCACTGCTTCCCAATATAATAATAAAGAGATATCAAAGCATGTTGCGTACATCATCTACTGCACCAATATAATTCTTTAAATAACATTAATAAAACCAACATAATAATAGATACAATTAGCACAAAGTACTTAAGGATTTTCCCAAACCCAAATAGACAAGACTAGAGCTATTAAACCCCAAATACAAGCGATAGTCTAAACTACAGGGGAAAATGGAGAGTGATGCATCTGTACTCGAGCAAGGGTTTTCAAAAACACAAATTAATGAACCCCATTAATCTAGATACATTGAGCTCATCTAAATAACTATGACTCTAGGTATTCCAAATCCATGGAACTTATTAAAAGCAAACTGGGGCTCGTTTCAGACTGCTTCTCTAGGAAGTACTTCTGCTCTAAGAGCTTCTAACAAAAGCGCTTTTATTATAAAAATCTTGAATTTTCATAAAAAATTAAAGTGTTTCGTGGACAAACACTTGGGAGTGCTTCCTGAAGAAGCACATGGCAAGTGCTTCTAAACTTTTCTGCGAAATGCTGTCAGAAATGTTTTTAGTTATCAAAAAGTATTTTTGGTCCTTCCAGAAGCACTCCCAAACTCTTAGGGCTTGTTTAAGACTGCTTCTCTAGAAAGCACTTCTGCTCATAATTGTTTCTCACAAAAATGCTTTTGTTATAAAGATGTTGAAATTTTTATAAGAAATACAAGTGCTTCCATGAAAAGCACATGGGAGTGCTTCTTGAAGAAGCACATAGCAAGTGCTTCTCCATAAAGAACTTCCAGGACTTAGAAAGCACTTCTAACATTTTCTACCAAATGTTGTCATAAGTGCTTTTGATTGTCAGAAAGCACTTTTAGCCCTATGAAAAGCACTCCCAAACAGGCCCTTAGTAAACTTTAATGCACCCAATGCTCTATAAAATTTAATGCCTCCTCATCTGCATCATTATGCACTGCATCTAGGGTTTCTCATACACACACAAATTAGCTACTACATTACTGTGCAAAACCACCATCATGCTTTCCTCTCTTTGCATCATTTCTTTTAATTCTTCTATCCTTAGCTTCATTTAGGTCCCGAACTTTCTCTGTCCATGGGCTCTATATTAGAGAAGGTACAATCTCTAATCTCCAACAAGATTTCAAACAAAACCAAATCACATCAAGAAAATTGGTTGAGTTCTACCTTCAAGAAATATGTAGACTGAACTCGGTCCTTCATGTCGTTATGGAGGTGAACCCATATGCCTTACCAAGCTAATAAGGCAGGTTATCAAGGAAAGACGAAGGGCCCCAATTATTATTATGGGTTACATGGAATTCCTATCTTGCTCAAGGACAACATTGGAACAAAAGATAAGCTTAACACCATTGATGCCTCATTGGCTTTGCTTGGCTTAGTTGTGCCTCAGGATGCCAACGTAATGTGTAAGTTGAGGGAAGTTGGAGCCATCATATTGTGGAAGGCTAGTTTGTAAGCTTTTGGGTTCCATTATTAGTATATGGGTGTACTGTACGCCACCTATTGGTCCATGATATTGGGAAAGATAATGTCGACTGGTAACTAGATAATAGGTGGATCCAATATCTATTATGTGGTGGATTCTTATTATTGGCTTAGAGCTCATACTTTTGTTGGGATTAAATCTTTCCTGAATGGGTGGAAACTTAATTGACACAATATATAAGTAAGGTCCTCTCACTGGTGGTGCACCTTGGTGCTCTTCACATTCTTCCGCATGTATTTATCTATAAATTTGATGAGAATTAAGAAAGAGGTTTACAAACCACCTTATGAGTACCCTTCCCTAGTTGAGTTGTTGCAATATGGTAAAATCACACACGTCAGTCAGCGTCCTACGTGGAAAAGTGGACCCCACATACTTCTCAAATAGAAATTAATAAAAAAATCTTTACTTTTAAAGTTTAAGAAAAAAAATCAATTATATTACATAATAAATTTAAAGAAATTTCAAAATTAAAAAACCATACCCATCAACCAGTGGCGAAGCCAGGATTTCATGTGTCTGGGGGCCTCTTACAAATTATAAAAAATCAAAAATTCGAACTCATAATACATACAAAAAATAGTGTATATATATCACATATGTCAAGAATTATATTGCTTATTGGTTGCAATCATAATTGTTCTCAACAAAGGGATAGACAAATACATTCTAAACAAGAAAAATTGCAAGAGATAGACAAAGAGTAGTAATTTAACAAATATCTTTAAAGCTTTTTCCCCCATTAAACCCAATAGAAAGAAAAGAAAAAAAATTAAAATTTCTCAAATTAAAAACAACTTTAGGCCCCTTTATGCATTCATATCATACATGAAAAAATATTGACCAAGTATGAAAAATGGTTTTTCAGAATAATTATTTTCTCAAGATAATTTTTGGCGGCTTTTCTTCCTTACACATGAAATAAGAAAACTTGATTTTATGGGATTTTAGTATGAAGTATATATTGACTTAATGAACCATCATTTTTAGCCTAAATTGTATTTTACACTAAAACCGATTTTTCATATTTTGATTTGGTGGGAATTTGATTTTCTAGTATTTTTATTTGAATCCAAATAGGGGGTACTTCCTTATTTACATTGTAAACTTAAGTAAATGGAGTAATATAAAAATAAATTAAAGTCAAAGGACAAAGACATTTACTTAAATGTTGAAAATGGAAATAAGGTAATCTGTACACCTAGAGTGCATCACCACTAGCTGAGTAAGGGTGCAATACATGTGGGTATATATCAAAACATAAAGTATTTGAAATAATATATATATACAAATACATAACAGTATATTACTTTTAAAATATAAAACAATTTGAGTAGGGGCCCGGGACCACACTGGTCCCAATGTGGCTCCGCCCCTGCCATCAACCATTATCCCTCTAGCAGCCCTACTCTCACCCAAATCCCCCACCACTCCCCTTGCCCTTCTCTGTCTCTCCCTCTCCCTCTAATTACAAAACAAAGTTATTAGATCCCCACATGAAATTAATCAAATCTCCATATGTGTAGTTATGAATATCATAGAGAGAAACAGAACAAGAAAAAGAGGAAAACTCTGTAAATCTCCTCCTTTCTTTTCCTCAACTTCGTAGGCCATGGTGTCGGGTAAGTCTCTCTGCACACGCAGGCACACACACACATTGCATACTGTATAGCAGTAACTTATCTGTAGGTTGTAGCTTACTCATTTGTGTTTGTTGTACTAAATGTTAACTTTGAGTCAACATATCTGCCTTGTGTTAATGCAGAGTTACACATATCTCCTCTCTTATATTTGGGCAAATGACAAAACTGTCCAAGAAGCTCTTCATATTCAGGAGGTAATTAATTAGTTCCTTCCAAAGATATTCTTCAGGTTTTCATGACATATCACAGTACTTTAATTTTGCTCATCATTTTTTTTTTTTTTAAAAGAATCAGGGAAGCATTAAGGAATGGGAGATATGCAATAAGACCTTACATGACTTGTATATATCTGATGTTTCCTCTAGTCTTGTCTATCATGAGAACCTCATAAAACAAGGCTATAGAGTTCTGATTTACAGGTACCATATGCTTATAATTCTGTCCATTGTTTTTGGTTTTAGTCAAGCATAAAGACCCAAACAGAAAGCCTTATTTGTCACCAAATGGAGGGAAAATTCAATTACAGGAACTCATACAATCTAATCATTCTCACAATATCATTTCTGAACACAAAGCTTGTCTATTAACAGTGGTGATCATGACATGAATATTCCATATTTGTCTACTATGGGTTGGATTGAATCTCTGAACTTGACTGTCGACAGTCGTTGGAAGCCATGGTTCCTCCACGGACAGGTTGCAGGGTTGGTATCTTCTATCTCATCTTCTTTCTTACTTCGTATTGAGTTTAGTCAGAAAATCAGATTACAACCATCTCATAGTTGTGCCTTTTTCGTTCGCTTTAGATACAGAGTGCTGTACTCAGATAAAAAGTACCAGTTGACATATACAACTATAAAGGCAAGAAGCCAAGAACCATCATGGACTTTAAATATTTTTCATACTACAATTTGCTTGAGCAAAAGCTGAGACTAAATTTTCTGATTTTTCAGGGAGCCGGTCACACAGCTCCAGAGTACAAGCCTGAAGAATGTCTTGCTATGATAACTAGGTGGTTGGCATACTACCCTCTCTAGTCACTAATTATTAATTGCAACTTGGTGATCTTTCACCTATTAACTAGCTTAGCTATTAAGGTCTGCAATATTTGTGTGCCCCAGATGTTGCAGCTGATAGTGCTTTGGTAAATAAATTTGTAAGAATATTGTCACTTAAATGTCAATGTTATTTTTATGTTGGAATTCTTCTGTGTGAGATGTGCATGTTCTCAAGTATATATCATCGTAAACGATATAAAATTCATCCTATTATCTAGCATATGCATCTAGAATTCACACATTTCTCTGCATTTCGCTTCATACGGACCCTTACAATAATCTGAGGACTTAAATATAACATATCAAAATTAAAATAAATTTTAGTTTTAATTTTTTCCGAAACTAACGTTAGCCCTGTTATCTCTTGTCTCTCTCTCCTCTCTCTCCTCCCTCTCTTCGGCTCTACCAATTCCCACTTCCCAGGAATTTCTACTACTCTCCCAATTAGCCCTGTTAGCCCTGTTAACAAATCACTTCTGTTGGAAATTAGGAACGTTATTAAATTGTTATTTAGTTTCCTTTTATTAGTTGATTGTAATTGATTTGGAGTAGTCTCCAAGTAACCTAGTTTTCCTAGTTAAGCTTGTAATATCTCTATAAATACTTAGCCTCTTGGCTCTATCAATAACAACCGAGAATTATTCTTCTTAAGAAAATCTCTAATTTCACAAACACAATTTGCAAATTGTGAACATAAATTAAGGATAGAGTTGGCAAAGTCAAAGAAGTATCCTTTGGGTTTGGTTCATCTCATTGGCTAAGAAGGGAATATTTCCATTGCTATTTTCTTTTCTAGTTTACATGTTCCTTTATGAAAGGTCCCAATGATAAGTTTTTAGTGCAGTTGGGATTTGTTTGCTTGATGAAAGGTCCCAATGTTTCGGGAAATAGTCTCTGTTTCAAATCATCGCCTAGCTGCTTGTTTCTCTTGCCCTTTTTAGAGCATTTCCACCAGTTAGCCCCTTGCCATGGTAAGGGGAGCCCTACGGCAGCTACTATTCACGTGAATAGTGCTGCCCTAGCCCCCCCAGCAAAGTTTGTTTCCAGCAGTTAAGGCTTGCCATGGCAAATACTATTCATTTTTTTTTTCCACAACTTTGTTTACTTAAACAATTAATTTTGATAATATTTTTGGGTTCCTATGTGTCAATACTATTCATATCGGATAAGATTTTCGGTTTCAAATTTCAGATAAATTTCAATTTCAAATACATTTCAAATTTAAGATAAATTTCAATTTCCAAATTTCATGTGAATTTCAAATTTCAGATAAGATTTTCACCCTCTAAAATTGCGCCACGTGTCATCTTTATCTGCCTAAATTTTTCTATAAAACCAAAGGCTTAGCTTATACCTCCCACACCATATCTTCTCTACATCTTCATTTCTCAGATTTGAGAATTCATTCTCCATTTTCAATGGCAGACATGCAAGAGGTTTTGGAGAGGCAAGAGCGAGAGAGGAGAGAAAGAATGTGTCGACGAGCTGCAAGCAAAAGGGCACAGAGAGAACTAGATGAGCAACTTGGCATGGCCTTTGCTTTGCTAGAGGAAGAAAACCAGAGCCGCCGTGGTTCACGAGAAGGCCGTGCCTCGAATGTGGACAGACATAGACATTCTCGGGGGTAAGAATCTTATGGAAGATTATTTTATCCTACATTCTCTGTACTCTGATGTTCATTTTCGAGCGAGATATAGAATGCAACCCCATTTGTTCAATAAAGTCATGCATGATATTTGTAATTATGAGGAATACTTTGTTCAAAAGAGAAATTGTGCTGGAAATTTGGGGCTTCTGCCCGAGCAAAAGTTCATAGCTGTGATACGAATGTTGGCGTATGGGTCATCTGCAGATCAGGTGCATGAGATTGCCCGAATGGGGAAGTCCACTATTTTGGAGAGCTTGATGCAATTTTGTGATGCAGTGGAAACTCTATACACCAGGGACTACCTGCGCAGACCTACGCCCAGGGACCTGTAACGGCTTCTACAAAAAGCTGAGTCTCGTGGATTTCCTGGAATGATTGGTAGCATTGACTGCATGCACTGGCAATGAAAAAATTGTCCAACTGCTAGGCAAGGGGATTATGGCAATTAGAAAGGGCAGAAAAGCATCATCCTCGAAGCAGTTGCTGGTTTTGATACATGGGTTTGGCACGCATTCTTTGGAGTTGTCGGCTCTCAAAACGATTTGAACGTCCTAGGTCTATCCCCGGTGTTCAATGATGTTCTGAGAGGTGAAGGCCCAAATATCACATATCAAATCAATAATACCGTCTACCATAACGGGTATTATCTAGCTGATGGTATCTACCCGAGGTGGACAACATTTGTGAAATCAATTCCACATCCCCGATCCCAAAAGGAAATTTTTTTTGCTACCTGTCAAGAGGGGTACAGAAAAGATGTGGAGATGTGCTTTGGTATCCTTCAAGCCCGGTGGGCTATTATCAGGGGCGCGGCGCGTCTATTTGACAAGGAGGTGCTTAGAAGTATAATGATGACTTGTATCATTCTCCACAACATGATTGTGGAAGATGAGTATGATTACGATGCTGATGAAGTGTATGAACCAGATCCCATGAACACATCCTTAACACGAATTTATGAAATACCTATGGGGCCAAATGGGGGGCCAAATGGAGAACCAGTGCAGCATGATCCGTTGGTTAGAGACGGTAGTTTCATGCCTCGTATGATTCAGCGCTACAAGGAGATGCAATCGTCATATATTCATGAACGCCGTCAAGTTGACTTGATGGAGCATTTGTGGGTGGTGAAAAGCAATGAAGGTGAATGAAGTGAAGTGAAAATATTTTTTTTGATGTATTATGCTTATGTTGTATTTTTAGTTATGCTTTGTTATTTTTTTTATGCTTTAGTTGTGGTTTGTTTATTTTTTATGCTTTGGTTGTGGTTTGCTTTTTATGTATGAAATGTTTTGAATAAAAAAGAATTTTGTTGAATATTTTCTTTATTCACTGAAAGAAAATCAATACAACTCATAAAATAAAATACATGGATTACCACTAATTTTTTAAACAAAACAAAAAATACAATGAAATGAAAGGCAAGCAAACTAACTTAATGGTTTTGATCATTTAACCAATCTGTGTTGCTAGGTCCATCGTCACGAAAAAGTCTTCATCTCATAACATCCGTTCGTTCTAGCTTCTAAAATTGTTTTGTTTCAGGGGATATATGACTTGTATCCATGGCCATGGTTTCCCGATCCTTTTTTTTCAATCTTTTCTTAGCATGCCTACTCCCTTTCTTGGCGTACATACTCTCTTTCTTTTGCATATTGCCCTATTGTGCTCTTGTTGTTTCATGTCCATTTCAATTCTCATGGCTTGCAACTTTGAATGTTCCTCCAAAAATTTAGATGCGTTCTTGGTAGAATTACTCCCTCTCTTCGCCTTCGCCGCCTTCCTCCCAATAGGCCTCGGCTCCTTTTCGATAGGTGAGTCTTGACTCATCGGGGAATCCGTAGGTGAATTCGATGCCTGCGTCTCATGGAGTAGCGTCTCGTTCAAGACTACCGTCGGACCCGTTGGAATAATTTGGAATCTCTTACAATTCTTCACCACCTCCCAACATAGGGTATGGTTGAAATTTTTTTTGCCTTGCCCAATAGCACCAAAAAACATTTGTGCTTGCATAATCTATAATAAAAAAAAAATGGAAATGCAAGAAACTTTAAAAATTATTGGCAATGCAACAAGTATAAAAAAAAAAATGGAAATACAAGAAACTTTAACAATTTATTAGAAATGCAAAACAAAATATAAATATTGCAACAAACATTCATATTAATATTGGAAATACAAGAAATATTAACAAAATATATAAATTGCAAGAAACATTTAAATAAAATTTAATATGACATCAAAATTAATAAAACAAAAATTACAAATAATTTACCTCATTGGTAAGGTTTTCCCTGCTTCTATGGTTGTCCATCGCTTTTGCCAAGGCATCTCTCCATTTTGCCAACTCTTTATTAAGAATTTTCCACCTACTAGATAATGCCATTTCCATACGGGTCTAACCAATTACTCTTTCACAAAAATCCTGATGAATTTTTTTTCCACATATGACAGAATTGCATCTCATTGCCCATTACGGGACAATGACTAATGTGGAGCCAAGACTCACACAAGCTAACATCTTCCATGATACTCCATGCCCCTCCGGTTTCACTAGAAGAATCCATAAATTTTTCTAGAAAAATACAACTTGAAAGTGAAAAACATATTGAGTAGAAAGTGAATAATAGTAGAAGGAGAAGAAAATGTATGAGAAGTTGGTGTTAAAAGTGAAGAGTATTGGTTGGTATTTATAGAAAAAAAAATTCAGTATTTTTTGGGTATTTTTTATTTATTTTTTATTTTTTAAATTTTTTTAATTTGGGAAAAAATTGGCTGCTGTTGGATTGCTGGAAAAAAGAAGATCGGAGAGCCCAGAAGGAGCCACGTGGAAGAGAGCCGTTGGGTGTGCAGTTTCGATTTTTTTTCATTTATTTATTGGCGAAAAAATGACTGCCGTTGGATTGTTGGAAAAAGTGGATCGGAGAGCCCATAAGCTAGCCACGTGGAAAAGACCCGTTGGGGGGCACTGTAGCGAGGCGCGTCCTGACGTGAGCCCAAAACTAGTTTTGGTGCTCGGGCTAGACCTCCCCAAGGGGCAGTCCAGTTTGCTGGGCCCCACACCTTGCCCTGGCAGATTTTTGTTGCTAGAAACACCATTTTTGGTTTGCCCCCTAGCCCTCCCATTGGGCCCCTTGCTGGAAATGCTCTTATCATTCGAGTCTTCTTTGTTCAAGCCCAAAATATTACTCACTGTATCGCTTGGATCCAACATTTTCTATCGACTCTCGAAGATCTAAGACGAACCCATATGAGAAAATAACAAACCCAATGCATTCAACCTAGAAACCCCCGCTCCTCTCTGCCCCTGTGTGTCCTCTCACCTGCCCTTCTCTACCCCTTGTGTGTCTTTCTTCTCTTTTTGTGTCACCAAACCCAGCGACCTAATACCCTGGCCACAACCCACCAACCTATGAAATTAGTCTCCACCCGAGTTGCCCTTCTTTTGTTTCTCCTTTCCCTGATGCACAGTCCTCTCCTTTTGATGTTCTTCTCATGTTCATCTGATTTCAACTCTCAATCAACCCTAGAATGCAAAATCAAACTTCATGGGTGATCTTGAAATTCGTTTTCACAATTTGGCTCAACATTGAAATATGAAAAAAAAAAAAATTATTTTATGTAACATCCCACATCGACCAACGGAGAGGGGGTGATGTGCCTTATATGTACATGCCCACCTCCATCTAGCATGAGGCCTTTGGGGAGCTCACTGGCTTCGGAGTCATGGGAACTCCGAAGTTAAGCAAGTTGGGGGCTAGAGCAATCCTAGGATGGGTGACCCATTGGGAAGTTGCTCGTGAGCTCCCAGAAACCAAACTGTGAGGGCAGAGAGGGGTCCCAAAGCAGACAATATCGTACTATGGTGGAGCCGATCCCGGGATGTGACATTTTAAGGTTGGATTAGCTGTTGGATGGTTTTTATTAGGCCTGAACTCGGTTTGGGTTGGTTCAGTTTTGGGTTCAACCTGAACACCGAACCGTAGGCTTCGGTTTGACTATTTTGAAAACTGAAACCAAACCATAATTGATGAAAACCGACCATTTCGGTTAACCGGACTTGTTGGTTTGGTTTGGTTTGGTTTCAGTTTTTTGGCTTTCTTAGAGAGAGAGAGAGAGAGAGAGAGAGAGAGAGAGAGACAGAAGAAATAAAAGCGATGGAGAGGAGAAGAAGAAAAAAGAGAGAGGGAGAAATGGAGCAGAAGAAGAAGAAGAGGAGAAAAAGAAAATAGAGAGAAGAAGAAGAAGAATGAAAAAAGAAGAAGAGGGAGACGAGGAGCGGGAGTGAAGACAGATAAAAGAAGAATGAGGAAAAAAATAAAGAGAGAGAGACTGATGAAGACAAGACAAATGGAGATATTGAGAGAGAAGAAAAAGAAAAAATTGAAACTATATATTATATATATTTCTTATAATAATATTTTTTTAATATCTTCGGTTTGGTTTGGTTAAATCGTGGTTTTGAATATTGCAAACTGTACACCAAACCATATATTTCGGTTTGGTTTGGGTTCAAACCGATGACAAAAAAGAAATTGAAAAAAAACCAAACCAACCCAACCTATCGATTTGGTTTGGGCAGTTTGACCAGGTTACTGGTTTGAATGCCCAACCCTAGTTTTTTATTATCGAGGGAGAGGGGGAAGATCAAGGGAGAGAGTAGAGCAGGCTTGGCTGGGAGGGATGGTGGTCATGATGTAGAGAAGATAGTTGCTGCAAAATTCTTTTAAATTAAATTTAGGATATTTCTTTTAATTATTTTATTATGTTGTGGGCTCCACTTCGACATATCATCCATTCGGATTGGTGGGTGAATAAGCCACATGTATGAAATTACTTAAACACCCTTACCATGTCATCAATTTTGACGATCTTTTGGATGTTGTTAATGGTTGGGAGGTAAAGTGAAACACAAAACCACGATCAAGGTAGTTAAGTTGGCCAGTTTAACTTTTAGGGGATGGGGGTAAAGTGAGATTTGACCAAAGTTTTATGGGGTACTACAGTGAATAAGCCTATAAAGAAAATCTATAACTATCTCTCAGTCCTACCCTTCCCTCCTCATCCCCTTCAGGCTGCTTTTCTCTCCCCCTTCAACCCATTTCGCCTCCCCTTCCATGCCCTTCCATCCCCCTCTGGTCCCTTCATGCTCTCTCTCCACCCGTAACCCACCCCTATCCCTACCCGCAACCCAATTCGCACCCCTCTCTCTGACCCACACTCTCTCCCTCTCACCTTTTCTGTCTCTCTCTCCTAAGCGTACCAGTCCCCTCGTGACCCATACCACACCCCAACGCCACCATTAACCTACCCTCCATCCCTTCGACCCAACCCCTTTCATCAAGAGACCAAAAAGATGAAGTTTGTTCAAGAAACCAACCCCCCTCTCTCCCTCTGTGTTCTCTCTACCCTCTGCCTTCTCTCCCTCTCTCCCTCTCTACTCTCTCTCTCTCTCTCTCTCTCCCCTTTGCATTCTTCCACTCCCATATGTTCTATTTATCCACCACCCACCCTCGACCCCTGAGCTTTAGGATGGTTTCGTACTCTAGAAAATGATTTAAGTATGGAGCAAGTGTGAACTTGTTGATTATAATTGGGCTAACAATGTCGAAAAATGCAAAAGGAAAGAGAATTGGGCTTAGACTCAAATTGTCTTAAATTGGTTTGGTTTGATTCAGTTTTCTTCATGACTTTTGTCAAAATCGAACCGAATTAAATTGTTATATTGTAATTGGTTCGTCCGTGATTTTGAGATAAAACCGATTCAATCCGGACCGTATCCACCCCTATTTAAAACTGAAAGATTTCAAAAATAAAAACTAAACCCTAGACTAGTCCATCCACCGAAGTATTTGATATTTTCTGCGCGCCCCTACTCTTCTACTGCTGCCTCGTGAGATGTGTCAGTTGAGAAAAAGAGTATTTCCTTTGTTTATTATGTCTTTGAAGTCATCGAAAGGAAGACACTGTTTGGATTCTTTTCTATTTTCCTCCCCTAAACACAGGCACCCATTTTTCTTCACTTTTTTGTTTTGTTCTTTGGTCATTCATTTCCTTTGTGGCCTTCTCATTTTTAACCCAGAAATTCCCAACCCAAACAATAATGAGATCAAAACCCAAATGCAAGTCCAAATCCAACTCAAATTCCAAATCTAAATCTAAATCCAAATCCAAATCCAACTCTAATTCGAAGTCCTTGGCATTATCGGTGTTTGTAGAAAATGTGGTTAGTGAGGAGGAAGCAGTGCCATTGAGCTCCTACGACCCAGAGCTCGTAGCGGCTGAGAAATGCAGCCAACCCAAAACGCAGCAGCAGCAGCCCAAGTGCCTGAGGAGGTCGCCGAGACTTTCTCCGCTGCCCGATTTGCCTCCCGGGACGGGGGTCAAGAGTATTTTGGGAAATGTCGCTTCCAGAAAGTTCGAGAACAAGTGTGCGACGAGCATAAGAAGGTCTCCCAGATTTACGTCACCAGTGGTGGAAGCTGAGAATAGCAAAACTGGGACTGCATCGCTTCAGGTGCACGCGTCACTACCCTATTCTTTCTATTTATTTATGCAATTTTTGTTTTTCCGCGATGGAGCTTTCTTTTATTTCTCGTTCAAAAAAGAAAATAAATTGCACCTTCCTTTTCCTTTTTAGAAGAAAAATATAGTATCTATATTGCCATTTTTACTACTTGCCCACCATGTGGGACCCACTTTCATTATAGTCCGTAAATACGGTACAAATAACAGCACAGCCATTCCTTTTTTGTTTTGCGGGTTTGTGTTTATTTTTTATTTTCTGAGCTATGCTTTTTATTTTGTGGTTCTGTATAATATTAAAAATGCGGATTTGCAAGCATAGTTGGGTGGGCCCGTGGAAAAAAACCTACTTGTAACAGGGCAAGCCAATAATATAATGACATGGGATCTAACTTGTCGTCGTATTATTGGCCGGGATAAAAAGTGATATACTTGTCCCATGAGAGTTTCTTTGGGGCACGTGGCCATGCACCTATTAGATGTCTCCCATCCATCTTGTCTTTGAATCAAAAGATCATGCGGACCTTAATAGGATCCCTTCATGTTTCATTAATTACAGCCCCGCACCACTGTTCACATATAATGTCGTTTTTACTCTTTTCATAATTTAAAAGCAAATTCTTATGGGTAAATTGGCATTTTGCCTCATGAATTGTCACGCTAATATGACTTTACTTCCGATTATTTTTAGTTAATCTAAGAATTAAACTAGAAAAAAAAAGCCAATTTAGGACTTATGGTTAAGGTTTCAAAACTCCGCAGACATGCTAAGTTGGCTAGAACGGGGGTGCTCCTCAATATGCACTTGAGTTCGAATCCCCCTTCCCGTAATTTAGATTAGATTTGTATAAAAAAAAAAGTTTTCAAAACTCCATTCAATTTTGCCGTCAATTATAAGGGCAAATTTGTCATTTCAAGGGAAATACTATGGAAAATTTGAAAAAAATAAAGAAAATGTGAAAATTTAAAAGATGGGGTAATCGACGTGTCACTTTAAAGAAAACAAAGAAAACAGTTACTTATGTTTAAGGAAATGTGAGTGTTTTATTTTTCTATTTTTTGAACTTTTCAATTTAAAATATTGTTAATTTACTATGTTGTCCTCATTTAAAATTTTTTTGGCCTTTTTAAACATATTTATTAACTAAGAGCATGAAAGAACAAATTGATTTTTTTTGCTTTTTAAACATATTGATTTTTTATTATTTATTTTAAATTTTTTGGTGATGCGGGAAAGAACAACTACAAGAGAAAAACCCTAAGGCACGGGATTTTTCGAAATCCACTTGGCACACGTCATTTTTATGCATATATATATATATATATATACAGAGCTTCTATTGAGGGACACTCTTGTAGGGCCCACTCCACATTGTGTTTCACTAATAAAAAATGTCTATTTTGTAGATATTCATTCAAAGATCATCTTTACAGAAAATCACTTAAATTCGATATCATTTGACCACTCAATTAAACTATTGAAATTTAAGTACTTTCTTGAATTATCGTGTTCATTAATTTTGTTGGTCTCAATTATATGCGTTAATGATTTTCAATTTGCATGATTTTTTTGCAAGGATGATCTCTGAATGAAGATGTGAAAAATAAATGGTTTGGATCATTGAAAAAAAATTAGTAGGGTACCCTAAAGGGTGTCCCTCAAATAATTATTTGAGGGATCCCTCAATAGAAGGGGATTGGTCCCATTCTATTGAGGAAGGCTCAAGCTTTAATGGTTTAGTATGTTAAAATGATGCTAACAACCCATTTGGGCTGGCTCCACAACGCCATCTCATGACCCGAACCATTTATTTTTTAGGTCGTCATTCAAAAATTGGTCAAAAAATTAGCCTAATTTTCTTCCTTAAGTTTTCATTAACTAAGGGCATTATGGGGTATTTTGAAAGTTTCACATCAAAGGCCCTCCCCATTTATATATACTAACCCCCCCCCCAGAGGCACATGTCCCTTTTTATTATTATTTTTAATTTTTTATACAAGTGATATTGGGGGAGTCAAACCTAGGACCTTGGGTGCAGGGGTAAATGCTCTTAACCACTTGAGTTACAAGCCCCTTGCGCACACATCACCTTTTGTAATGACTTTCACAGTTTTTACTTGGTTTTTATGTTATTTATGTGCATACATATATTGTCCCCTTCTATTGAGGATGGCTCAAGCGTTAACTGGTTAGTATGTTAAGACGATACTAACAAGCTGTTTGGGCCCACTCTAAAACGTCATCTCATGACCCGAACCATTTTATTTTAGGTCATCATTCAAAAATCACCTTGCAAAAAGTTAGCCTAATTAGCCAAGTCACCCAGTTGATGTAGCCCATTGAGGTGAACAACATACTTATTGTGTTTTGTGTTTGTGCCTATCTCTTAACCCCCTCTCCATCTCTCACCTCTCTTGTTGATCCGTTTTTGGATATCAACATGTTTAGTTGACCATTTATCTTATTTTGCACTTCTAATTCCAAAAATGGATCCTTGCCTTATGCAGCATAAAAAAAGCAAGCACGGATGCATGGGATCAAAGTGAGTAGCTGTGGTCGTGGGTAGGGGGGTCTTCACAGTCTTCATGTGCTAATAATATTGACTTTTTCATTTTCACTTGTTGCAGTGCTTACAAGGATAAAGATACAGTATCAAATGTAGAGAGCTCGGTAGAGAAGTCTGTCAGGAGATCTCCAAGGCTGATGAATCACTCCGAAGCGGAAAGCTGCTGTCTGAAAGTTTCTTCACAAGAGATATCCCTGAGAAACTTGGAATCCCTTGAAAAAAGCTGCTTCAAGGCCATGTCCTTAAAACCTTCTGATGTCGAAGCATCATCAAGAGATATAGAAGTCCAGCATTTATCTCTCTCATGGCATGAATGTGGTGATAAAGAACCTATGCCCTTGAGGAGGTCTTCAAGGCTAATGTCATCCCCTGGAAACATTATTAGTGAATCATTGAAAAATTTTGACCTTAAAAAATTGGATGAAAAGCACATACGGAAATCTCCTAGATTTTCTCATTGTGTGAATGAAAGGCACATAAGGAGATCTCCTCGATTTTCCCTTTCTGTGGCAGCGGATGAGAAAAATTCTAATCTAAATTCTAGTATTGTTGGATTGTTTGATTCAGAAGATGAGAGGAGGTCTTCAAGGCTAATGCCAGCCCCTGAAAACGGCGATAGTGAATCGTTGAAAAATGTTGACCTTGAAAAATTGGATGAAAAGCACATGCGAAGATCTCCTATATTTTCTCATTGTGTGAATGGAAAGGAGATAAGGAGATCTCCTAGATTTTCCCCTTATGTAGCAGCTGAGAAAAACTCTAATCTAAATTCTATTATCTTCGGATTGTCTGATTCAAAAGATGAGTTTCCATCCAAGAAGATATTGATGTCATTAGGAAAATCTGATTCAAGAATTTTTGATGAAAAATACTTGAGGCAATCCCCAAAAGAAGCCACGGCTATGTTTGAGAATGAAGGAAGAGAAACAGAATGCTCTTTGATTGAATTGCCGGAGACATATGTGAAACAGCAACCAAAGAAAAGGAAAACATTGGATTCATCAGAGAACAGGCAAAATAAACAAAAGAATTGCAAAAGTACTTCCTTGATTGGGGATCCAATTCCTGATGTTGAAGCTCAAGAAAGATGGGGTTGGCGATATCAAATGAAGGTGTTAAATCAACTCAGATACTATTTATTCCTTTGCATTTCTTTTACTCGACTCTTTTTCTCCTTTAAGGACCTCAACATTAAATCAGAGGTACATTATACTATTAACAAATTTTCGTCCTGGCCATTATTGTACTTAAAAAATGTCAAAAAATAAATTCAATGAATAGATAGAGTCAACAGTACGGCAGATTGAGGGTAGAGTTTGATGAGAGCCCCTTTGTATAGGTTCTGTTGATGACTTAAGTATTGAGTTGTCAATTATTGCAAAGCTTAAGTAGACTTCCTATAAGAAAAAAGGAAGAAGCTTAAGTTGATTTCCTATAAGGAAAAAAAAGAAGCTCAAGTTGATTGGGAATACATACATACACCTCATTGAATTGACTCACTACTTCACGACTCAGCACATATCTTTCTCTCAATTGGACTTCCTACTGGTCCTTTGAAGAAGGTTTTGGGTTGGAAATTTGCTGATATAGCTACTGCTCCTAGTCATAATACGTGGAAGTCAAAGCTTATCTAATAAGGGTTACAAAAAAGTTATATCAATATGTTTCTTGGTGAGGAGTAAGAATAAGATATTTGAAAGATAAAGATATAGAGAGATCCGGGAACTGGTAGAGACAAAGAAAGAATCAGAAAAATCTAGGGAGAGGGGCATAATGAGAGTTTGTTTTAACGTTCCAACACCCTCTGTTTAATGTTGACCATGTGCTACCTTATTTCCTAATCAAATATGCATTTTTATTGAACCTTTTGCAGTGGAGATATTTCTATTATATCTTCTACAGTTATATTGAAATTTTATATGCATTTTTTTTATACTAAAATTTTATATGCATATAAATATGTGCTCATGAACCTGTTTGCATTATATGTATATAAATGAGTGTGCATGTTTTAATGCAAATTTGTGCATTTTTGTATGGTGTGGGTAGAATAATTTCTGGCTCTTGGGTATTTAACTTGTACCTTTGAAGCCATTTGACGACTTGGCATGGATTATACTCTGTTATAGGGTTTGAGGTTTTATGCTCATTGTAATGAGACTATTGTAAATTTCACTTCATTATAGCGTTTAATATGTCTTAGATTTGTTTGTGGCTGTGTTGGAGTTTTGCAGAGTCAAAGATCTAAAAGTCAAAGCTTGAAGTTAAAGTGAGTAATAAACAGTTCACAATTTGTCTCTTTGATGGTTTGGTTGTTGTTTTCTTCAGTTCTATGTTGTGGTCTTCTTCAGTTCTATGCTTTGCATGCTGTGATGCGTTGCTCCTTACTTGTCAAGAGCACATTGTCTTGACTGGTGAGGAGGTACAAACATGTAACAGAACATTCTTACCAAACCTTCTTTTCCTTAAAAGCAATATATTCTCTTTGATCACACCCTTACTTCCACTGTTTCTCTTTTGACTTGCCAACTACGAGATAAAAAAAAGATTTTTATTTTACTAAAAAAAGGTGTTTGTGATTCATTTTACGCGGAATATGTGCCCTTACATGATTAGACCTGAGAACAATGTGCTCCTGACTTAAGCGAAGCATGATTGTTTTTAATATAATCCTCTTTGGTTCAATGTTTTTTTTTCTGTTCATGTCATGCTTGCTTGTAGTGAAGATGAAGAAGATGAGATAATTTTGAATGTGGAATGTCACTTTTCTCAAGCTAAAATTGGCAATTGCATCTTCAGTCTTGGAGATTGTGCATACATAAAGGTAATTGCTCTCTTTCCCAAGTATGTACTGGTTATGGGCATTTCTTCCTATAGCCAATATAGATATACTAGTCCCTCCACATGCTATACCTGCTTGAGATGGCTCCTCTTCAATATTGTTGTTTTTCTCTTACTTTTATTTTCTTTTAAATAAATGTTAATTAAGATAGAAATGTAAAATTAAAAATAAAAAAAAAAGCTAAGGGTTATGGGTGAATTGCTACATAGTTATTCTTTCGAGTTATGCTCATGTTGGATCTATGATATTTTGAATACATCCAATACACCCTTAAGTCTTCAGAGCAGCTCTAGTTACAGTTTGTATTGGATGCATCCAAAAGAATGCTCATGCACAGTTTTGGGTATTTCTGTTGGCATTCCTAAGATGAAGGCAGCATTTGAAATAAATGTTAAAGTAATGTTTACAGGGTGATGGAGGAAAAAAGCATGTGGGAAGGATCTTAGAATTTTTCAAGACAACTGATGGAGAAAATTATTTTAGAGTCCAATGGTTTTATAAAGTTGAAGATACGGTGAGTTTGTAAAAACTGTTTCAAGTATGGAATGCCATGAGCAGAATATCCAACTAAGTACTAACCATTCTTTGTTCTTTGTATTTGTTTCTCAGGTTATCAAAGATGTAGGGGATGTTCATGACAAGAGGCGTTTATTCTATTCTACTATAATGAATGATAATTTGATAGATTGCATAGTTTCAAAAGTCAATGTTAAACATGTATCTCCTAGGGTATAATTAAATCTTGATTTTTTCCTTTAAATTTGACTTCTGTTTATAATTGCTTTTTGTTTTTGGAATTTCCAGGCCTATGTCATATATTATATTAATGAACTTTATCTATGTTTTGACTTTTTTCAGGTGGGGTTAAAAGGGAACTCCATTTTGTCGTCTGACTTCTACTATGATATGGAATACTGTGTGGACTATTCCACGTTTCGCTCCTTGATTACTGGTGAGTGGATCATACTGTGACAGTGATAGGTGCTTATATTTGTTTCTGGTTTGGTGTGCAGGATTTAATTTGGATTGTTACTTTGCTCAGGGATTGGACTAGATTGGATATGATTGTTTTAATACCATGCAATGTTTGCTGTAATATAGGATTAATTAAGTAATACTATCTTCTGTTTGGTTTCAGTATCTTGGTTTCGGGATATCCAATTCAATTGTTGACTTATCAATTTCAGTGGATAAATTTTTTGAGAAAGTCTTTTATTTTCTTATCTTTATAGACAATACCTTCCATGTTCAATTTCAGTGAATAGAAAACTTTGTAGTATGGTTGTTTTCTACCACATGGCCCTCCAAGATCTACCTAAAATGTGAGACGTTGACATTAAAATTTGCACAAAAATTTCAAGTTCAAAGGTTTGACAATTCCTACTTGTCTAATTTTACTTCAGATAATTCTCTTAAGAACCAAAACTTGCCAGCATACAATTCAATTGAAGCAGTCTCTATACTGTCAACTGCAAACTTGTTGGAGAATATGCCCAGCTCTGAAACTTACAATGCAGAGTTAGCAGTCTTAGATCTTTATTGTGGTTGTGGTGGTATGTCAACTGGATTGTGTCTTGGTGCCAAACTGTCTTGTGTTAATCTTCTCACGGTATTCAACAATTTTTTTGTTTTCAATTTTCATTTTCATTGTATATTTTTTTTATTACTATCAGCTGCCTCAAACATGTTATGGCTTTAAGTGAATCTTACTCTCTGGCCTTTATTTAGAGATGGGCCCTTGACAGTGATAAATCTGCCTGTGAAAGCTTGAAGTTAAATCATCCAGAAACGCAAGTGAGTACACCTTATCCTTTGCTAGGCAATAGCCAATTTTCTCACCCCTTTAATGTTCAATGACATTACAGAATAGTTCTATGTTTTTTTTTGTAGGTCAGGAATGAAGCAGCTGAGGATTTTCTAGAACTGTTAAAAGAATGGGAAAAGTTATGCAGACGGTATACAGTCAATGATGTTGAAAGAACTCATCCATTAAGATCAAAAACATCAAAAACACCCAAGAATAGTAATGAGATTGCTACAGACGAATATGAAGTTTCGAGGATTGTTGATATCTGCTACGGTGATCCTAATAAGACAGGAAAGCATGGAGTAAACTTTAAGGTAAAAGAAATTCCTTTAAGATGCCTGATGACAATGTCTGCAAGGTCATGATGAGATTTTATTTTCACTTACATTCAAAGACGATAACTCATTGCCAGTGGGTGCGAGATTCTTAAGCAAAGTTATGCATGCGGCTGTTCACTCTCTTTGTTTAATGAATTTTTATGAAGAAAACATGATCATGGCTGTATATATGGCATTTTTACTTATACCAAAGAGATAGACATGATAGAATATCAGTTCATGAACCTAGATGAGCAGATGATACTGCAACTTATGGTCCCAACATCCTACCGAATGTAATTTTTCAATGGTTTAAAGGTCATCCTTAGTAAATGGCTTAAAAGGTTTTGTTGATGGTGCTTCTCTTTGGCTGCCTACCTGGTCCCAACATCTATATATATATGCATACCGAATCATGAGATGACGTTGTAGAGTGGGACCAAACGAGTGATTAGCACTGTATTAATTTACTAACCGGTTAGTGCTTGGGTCCTCATATATATATATATATATGTGATGTGAAACCCAAAAAACTAAAGGGGAAAAATGTAATTTTCTTAGTAAAAGATTTTAGGGGAGGGGGATAATTAAGCAAATTTGGTAATTCATATGGACTCACTGTTTTATATTTTTTGTGATTATTTCGTTCTAGGGGTTTTCCATGCGAAATTAAGAGTCAAGACACTTGTTTGAGTCTTAGGTAGTCCTTCATTATCTCAATATGCTTTCTCTATTCAAGATATAAGAATGTGGCTGGGCTTTCCCAACTATTTATGACCATTTGTACTGGATGAGGCTAGAGATTTGAAACTTTGTCATTTCCAATCATTGAAATAAAAGGTTCATACGCATAATTTCTTTATATCTTATGTTATGGGTATATGCAATATGTCTCTTACATTTAGTGCCCTTCGAGTAATTTACTTTGCTTGTCTTTCAGAAAGAACTAAAAACATTGGTGATCAATTGACGTGCTAATGTATATAATATGAACAGAGCTATATGTACATTCCATCTCCTAACTATTTCCAAACCCTATGAGTAGTTCAAGTGCTCTAGACTATACAATAGCTGAACCTTTTTTCTTTCTAATAATTTGTATCTCTGATGGAAGGGTCAACTCCCCTTCTATTTGTGGAGTTCTCGAATTGCAATTATATTTTTTAACTCATGTTTGATATTGTAGTATCAGGGGCCAGAAACAAAAAGCGATTGTGGACGGTAAGTTAGTGGCGAGTGTTTTGTTGTTCAGATTAAAGGATTTGGTGTTTGCTCCTTCAAGGGGTAGATAGTAGACATTGTAGTGATGTGGAACACAAATCATGTATCGGTTTTGGAATCTGTTGTAGGGGAGTTCTTGGCATCCATAAATAAAAGGTTTATGGAGCAGACTGGTGGCTTTGAGGAGTCTATGGCCCATGCAGACATAGGAAAACGAAGAGCTTTTGGGAAGAATCATGTGCTGTGTGGAGGAGACTTTAATACGGTGAGGTTTGTCACTGTGAGACAAGTGATGGAAGGATGACTAAACAGGTAGTCAATGTGTCTTGTAGGAATCCATGGCGAAAAATGGTATAATTCTTTTCTTCAATGCTGCCGTTTTTTTGTTGGCAATGAGGAGAATATTAGATTTTGGGAGGACTCTTGGCTGAAAGAAGGGTTACTGAAAAATTTGTTTCCTAGACTCTTTTCCTTGTCAAGGAAAAAAAATCTAAGTATCTCTCGTTTTGTTAACACTCAAGAGCTGCCTCTTAATTGGGATTTTGGCTTCAGAAGGAATTTTTCTGAGGCTGAGATTGCAGAAGTGGTAATACTTTTGGATATATTGGGGAAGGTAAGATGAAGTAGTTCTAGATTGGATCGGAGAATATGGGAGATCGAGGAGCAGGGTTCGTTTTCGTGCAAGTCTTTGAGGTCTTTTCTTCTTCCTAACGACATCAGGTATGTCTTCTCCCCTTTCATCTCAATCTAGAACCCGAAGACACCTCCAAAAATTCAATTCTTTGTGTGGTTGGTAGCGAATGGCAAGATTAATACTTGTGATGTTATTCAAAGGAGGCAACCAAAGATTTGTTTATCTCCTTCTTGGTGTGTTCTTTGCAAAGAGAATGCAGAAAACATTGATCACGTGTTCATTCACTGTTCATATTACTCAGAGAAGAGTGGGTGATTCCTAAAGGGTGTTTTGAGTTCCTTAGTATCAAGTTGGTGGTTTCGGGGAGGGGGAAGAGAGTTCGAATTCTATGAGATTGTCTAGTTCATGCTATCTTCTGAAATATTTGGATGGAGTGCAATCGAAGAATTTTTCAGGGACATATAGGAGTAAGGGTTGAGGAATTATGGGATAGAGTTAAATTTTGGGCATCTCTTTGGGCATCCGTTTTGGGCCAGTTCAAGGATTATCATTATTCTATCATCATGAGAGATATGGTGGCAGTCTTAAGATGATTTTACATAAGTTGTTTTCTAATTACAGATTTATTTTCGGGCATAGTAGGTTAGTTGTTTTTTATTTTAGTTATTCTGGTGCTTAATGAGTCCAAATTCCTTTCGTTGTATGGTCGAGGATAATTTCTCCTCTTGATTATCAATACAAATGTTTCTATTAAAAAAAAATGCTGGTTTTTTATATAATGATTTTATCCAAGAAACAAATTTGAGAGATCCAACTTTTCTAAATGCTGATTTTACTTGGTCAAGTTTTAGAGAAGGAGCAATGTGTCAAAGATTTGACCAAGGATTGAAATATCGGTCGATACACCGATATATCTGCCGATATATCGGTATTTTCAACTATCGACATCGATACTGGGGGGTAAGGCCATATCTTCCCCTATATCGACGATATATCCCCGATAAGTGCGATATTCCCGATATTTTGCCGATATCCCCGATATTTCCTGATACCCATAACAGAACCCAAAAAAAATTCAGAAGTTTTGAAGGCAATTGAAGCAAATTGAAACCCAAAATTAGTTAATCCTTGCTCAAAACCCTATAATTTATTAATATGAAGAATCTATGCACAGTCCATTGCCCATATACCTCCAATCCATCTGAAGAGGACATGGCGATCAATTTTGGATCTATGAACATAGGAACTAGACCTAGTACTAACTCAAATGAATCTTATGATGTCTATGTTTATGTCATGTCTAATTATAGTGGAACTAGTTATGGAGCTCAAGATGATAAAAAAAATTACGGACCTACTAGTTGGTTAATCCTAATTATCCCATATATGGGAGGACAATAGAGAGCTCAAGAGAGACCTATGTGCACCATGTTCAAACATGGCTTACAAACTGCTCGGGTTACATGACTTGGTATGACTATTGTATGAATCTAGATGGTTGTTCCTCATTGTTTGAACCTCATTGGAGCTCTTCATTTATGTAGATGGACACTTATCTAAATTGTAATACAATGTTTAAACAAACTATGGATTTATGCATGGTTTATTCATTCTAATTAACATTTTATTTTCAAACTTTTCATTAATGCGCATTACATACCACTTATATTTCATCATATGTATATCTTATTATTAGTAAATTTTGAGTTTTATTTGTTCAATACATTCATTGATAATATACATAACATCTATGAAAGTTTTACACAAAAATTATGTGTTTCAATGCCTATATCTGTCATTTTTGTTGATTTTTTCCCGATACCTAAAACAATAACGATATATCCCCCGAAATATCCGTAAATTGGAGGCCTGATATTATCTGCACGGCCGATATTTTAATCCTTGGATTTGACAGGTTATATTTGCTGGAATTTTAGCTTAAGAATTCTTATTGATTTGGAGTCAGAAGTTGGAAGGGGTTCGTTTGTCAATTTCTAGGGTGGAATGATAGGAGATGGAAGCTAGAGGACTCTGGGATTTTTTCTATGCATATCATACAGTAGCGTTTTGTGGAACAAATCAGAGGTTCCATATTTTTTACCTTCTAATGCTAGTTGGGTCATTCCAAAAGGGTGTTATGAGGTGTTGACTACTCAGTTTTACAGGCTTTGGGAAGAGGAAAGAAAGATAAAACCCTACGGCACTGTCTGTTGTTGCAGTGTTTTGGGCCATTTGGATGGAGCGCACTACAAAGCTTTGTTATTTTTATTTTTTAAAGGATTAGTGAGATTTTGGGGTGGAAGAACTTTTGGATTGAGTTAGATTTTAGTCATCTTTCTGGGCATTGGTTACTTCAGATTTTTAGGCTCTTCATTATCAAGTATTATGCTGGATTTGTTAGTTGTTGTAAATTGTTGCTCCATAGTGGTTGACTGTGAATTTCTTATCCATGCTTGTATGATTAGTATTCACGATTTAGTAATATCTCGTTTTGCATAAAATAATTAAAAAAAACATTTTAATCATAGCTGTTTTAATAGGTGCATTGGAAGGGTTATAGTAGCAGTGAAGATACATGGGAACCAATTGGAGGGTTAAGGTATTGCGACTTGTTATGATTTGAAATATGTGTGTGGTCTTCAGCACTAATTGTTCCGTCTCTTCTCAGTAACTGCCTAGGAAGCATACAGGATTTTGTACGATATGGGAAGAAGGTGAAGATCTTGCCACTTCCAGTAAGTATTTACTGATTGTACAAGTTAAAGTAGTACCATATAGGTGTTGATCTTGTATTATCTGAATCCTGATATTTATCTATAATTCCAGGGTGATGTTGATGTAATTTGTGGGGGCCCTCCTTGCCAAGGCATTAGCGGCTATAATCGCTACAGAAACGTTGATTCTCCATTAGATGATGAGAGAAATCATCAAATTGTAGTCTTCATGGACATTGTAAAATTTTTGAAGCCAAAGTATGTGTTGATGGAAAATGTAGTTGACATTTTGAGATTTGATAAAGCTTCTCTTGGTAGGTATGCACTTAGTCGTTTGGTGCATATGAATTACCAAGCAAGGCTAGGAATACTTGCTGCCGGTTGTTATGGCCTTCCACAATTTCGGTTGCGTGTTTTCTTGTGGGGTGCTCATCCTTGTGAGGTGGTCTCTTTGTTTCATTGTCATTGTCTAAATAAATGTTTGAGGGTAATACAAAAATACATAGGGGTCACATGAGGCTCCAAACAATAGAAAAATAATAAGAAAGAGAATAAATATACTGCAATTGATAATGACTCAAGCTCAATCAAATTCTTATGGGACACATTGAATAGTGTATTCATTCATGTTGGATGATGGAAAGAACATGATGTGTTTTTATCCTGTTTGCTTGCAGAATCTACCTCAATTTCCTCTTCCTACACATGATGTCATAATTAGATACTGGCCTCCACCAGAGTTCGAGGTACCTATTGTGTTTTTTGGAATACTTAAACCTTCTTCAGTTCATTCTTTTCGAGTTAAATTGTTTACCTTTATGTGCAGCGCAATACTGTTGCTTATGATGAAGACCAACCTCGTGTATTAGAAGAAGCTCTGGTTCTTCATGATGCCATCTCTGATCTTCCTGCTGTGCGTTCATCGTATTTGAAGCTTAGCTATTCTCTTACAATTGAACAAATTTCTGATTTAGTTTTATGTTATAGGTCACAAACGATGAAACAAGTGAAGAAATGTCGTACCAAAAGCCTCCTGGAACAGATTTCCAAAGATATATAAGGTCAACGCAATATGGTATATCACTATTCTCAGACTTTGTATGCAGTTAATATTCATATAAATTTTTTCATTGATTTAGGGTTTGTCTCTAGATTCGGTATTCAGCATAGTTGCAGATGTAGGATAAAAAACAAAAATAACTGCTGTGATGTGAAGTGTTTTTTTGCATCTTGTTTTATTTGGGTCTTTCTGGTGTAGCAGACTGTGTAGTTTGGCTGGTGTCTTTGTTTTTTAAGTCTGTTTTTTCTGTTGTTGGTCGTTTGGCTTGTGGATGCCTTATCCACTTGTGTGTTCCTTTTCGTTTCTTTCAATAAATTTCATTTCTATCCAAAACCAAAAACAAACAAAAACAAAAACCAAAACTAGAGTTTCAAGACCCCAAATATAGAAAAACAAGAGGCAGTAGCCTCCGTAGAAGGTGACAATGACTCCGCCCAACTCCTAGGATAGCGGAAAGAGGTGGAAAATTTAGGGGAGTGCTGGCGGCCATCAGAAGGTGTGCTAGATTTTTATTTCTTTGTTGAAGGGGCCAGTCATTTCACTAGGGTTTAGGGCTATAGTTTTGTCTTTTCTTGTGGAGGCTACATTACAGGTTTTTATACCAAATCATAACAATATTGCTGTAACTTGATTATCTCAATTTGAGGCCAAAAGCATATTTACGTTGGAAATATTTACACGACTATGAAAAAAAATATCCTTGCAGGTAGAACGGTGAAAATAACAATAATGAAGTTCATGACCTGTGTTTCCAATTGGTAGATTCATCTGATCCCTAACGATGTCTCCAAATATTAATATAGTTCAACAATGCAACTAATGTAAACCACCTCTTGATCGGGGTGTAACTTGTTACACAACCACTACCCTGAAAACCTAAGCTATCATGGAATCGGCAGTAATGTGTATTGAGCTTAAACCCTCTCTCACATGTAGCCCTATCCGAGGCAGACAGATGGAGGAAGAGAAATTTATAGGTGCAACATCACCATTCACCCTGCAAACTAAGAAAGATGTGGTTAACTGGGATCAACCTCTTGCAAAGAAGGTTTTGATACCATGCTACACAACCACTAGGCCCAAAGCTTAAGTTGTCAGGGAATGCACCAATGGTGCATATCAAGCTTAGATTACTGCCCACGTAACCCTATTATATCATAGAAATAGAGTTACACTTAATAAAGTATTCATAACTGGTTTAGTACAAAAGAACAATAAGGAAATAAAGCTAAGAGCATGATGGAATAATACACTGTACAAACTTGATCTGTTTTTGAACTACTTTAGCATGGTCAGCATATTGCTGAACATTTATTGTGGCATTCTAGTCATGGCCATCAACCTCATCAAACTTGATCGATTGGCTGTTTGATGAGGTTGATGGCCATGTTGGGTGTCTGGAGGTTTATTGATATACCAATTGGTTATGCTAATCTTTTTATATCTTCCATCCTTCCAACTGCATATATTTATATGATTTCCATTTTTACTTTCATTTATGCTGGTTCTGTAGAGATGATGGGATCTGTGTTAGATGGCACTATGAAAACAAAAGTTTCACTGTATGACCATCGGCCTTACCCGTTGTTCGAAGATGATTACTTACGAGTTTGTCAAATTCCAAAAAGAAAGGTCAGATATGTATACAGCATGGATAAGTGTAACATTACGTTTGTGCCATTAATTTTTTTTATCCATCTGTTATTTCTAATCTATAGCTATTTTCAGGGAGCAAACTTCCGGGACCTCCCTGGTGTTGTTGTAGGAAATGACAATGTGGCTCGGAGGGATTCAACTGAAAAGCATTTGCTGTTGCCATCAGGAAAACCATTAGTAAGTGTTGATGCTCTTTATCTGCAACGGAGAATGATGGACTTAATCTTATCATTGCTGTTTCTTCAAAAGTTTCCTGCCTTGAAACAGTACAAATTTGAACTTATGCCTTGTTGTCGAAAAGGTCTGCTGAGGTAGTTGTACTTGTATACATATCAAAGCAATCTGTGTTATCTTGTTTTCTTTTTGTAAGCCTGGAAATTGTGCAGAAAATATCCAAGATTGCCCCTGACAAATTGAACATAACCTGAGTGGTTTCCTTGTCAATCTTTCAACCTGCTTAGTCAAAGTTTGTGTACCCTACTTCTAGATGACCATGCTTTGAGAAAATTATACCCTTTCCAGGAGCAGACTAAATACCTTAGGATTCGATAAACATCTTCCTTGTGGTGAGTGCACAAATTGACTCACCACACCAACTGCATTAGATCGGATCGTGTGCTAGATAGATAGATTAACCTCCTAATTAGCTTCTAATATCTCTCCTTATCAGTTGGAACCTGACTAGGATAAATTGCAAGGTGCCTTGTACCTTTTAATGGATCCATCAGCTCTACGTTTCACAGTAAACACCCCTTTACACCCCACGGTCTTCTTATATTTCTCCACAATATCTCACGAAGACTTTTTCTGGAAAGCCTTCCTCTTATGTAGCATAGCATTTTTTTCACTTAGGATTGCCATGAGCTTCTTGTACATTCTTTGGGATAGACACGACAGATAATTGATTTTTGAAAGCTATATGGTCGAGGGGAAACCATACCTATTAGGAGACAATGTTCACAGAAAGGACTGAAGTCCTTGCTAGATGGAACCAAAGGAGTTGTATTTGAATTGATATAAGTGGATTAAGTTTGCAGAAGTTGTGTGCATATCAAAGGAGTTGCAAGAGTAAGTTATTTGAGAGATCAGGAACACCCACCCCATAAACAGGAGTAGATACCTCATTAGCAACCCTGATAGCAGTACAACAAGGTAGAGTAAAAGAGACAAACCGAGAGGGATCATTAGTCTTTGATCAGTGGCGCCTGAATCAATGATCCAACGCTACATGTTTCCAGAGGAGTCACCGGAATGGTGATAATAGGAGCAGCATGATCAGTTGAAGACTCATGAAGAATATTATCACCCATAGTAATTGGAACCAAGTGATGTAGGAAAAACAAATCTGATCAAGATTTTAGGGGAAAACAGAGCTTGATTTTGTGTGGAAGAAGACTAGAGGGGAAAACAGCACCTAGGTGGCAGCTGTAGCAGATTTTAGGCTTATGTTTTCAGAGAATGGCCCACACCTGCTCTGATACCGTGCAGAATATTTTGTAGGAATTTGAATTGTTTATTCTTCTGTCATGGAGAGGCATATAAACATATTTACAAAGGATTCCTAAAAAGGCTAGGAATCAATAATAGGAACGTATTTACAAGGTCAACTCTTATAGGGCTGAAAGGGGCTCAGAGGACTGAAACTGCCTATCGGAACCAGAGTGGTTTGAAATAAAGGGCATTAAGGAAGAGGACAATGTCTGTTTTGTCATGAGCATCTGGCTCAAGTGGAATGAAAATTGGCTCGTATTTAACCACAATCTTCTACTGTCAGGTACCAGATTATGCCTTCACTTATGAACAAGGCAAGTCAAAAAGGTTAGATCTCTTGTTTTGGTAGCCTTCTCATGTGTTTCTCCATTTTTTTTTTCTCTCTCGTATTTTCTGATTCTTTTATATTTTTAGACCATTTGCGAGGTTGTGGTGGGATGAGACAGTGCCCACTGTACTGACGTTCCCAACTTGTCACAGCCAGGTTTGACCATGGTCTCAAATGTTCTTAATGGCATCTCATGGTTTGAATATTGTAGTGACCTATAAACTTCTGTAGGCAATATTACATCCAGAGCAAGACCGAATCCTCACTTTACGAGAATGTGCAAGATTGCAAGGGTTTCCTGATTATTATAGATTCTGTGGGACGGTTAAGGAGAGGTATACTCTAATTCTTATGAATGTATAATTTCATATTTAATTCCTTTTGACCGTTTCTTGAAAAAAATATGAATTTCATTTTTTGAGTCATGCCCAAGTTTGTGATCGATGTTTTCAGATTTCTGCAGAAAATGAAAATTGAAAACAGAAAACATTAGAAATTAAAATGAAACAAAGAGATTTTAAATAACAAAATAAAATGAAACCTTAAAGTTTCTTACCATTCAACATCTAATTACACTGAAAGCATGCCCACCTACACTTCTCTCTCTATAGTTTCATTTATGTTTTTGATACACTTTTTAGTATATATATTTAGTGTGTAGACTCAATTGTTATATATTTTCATGTTATTTTGACATAATTTGGTTTATGTAAAGTTGGGAGTGCTAATATGCTCAAATGTTAGAACCTAACGGAGAATATATGATTTCTTATTTCATTATTTATTATTATGTACCTCTCATGTGCTTGGCTATTCAGTTTTCGTACTTTTCCTATGCAAAATCTTATATGAAGAACTCTATAATAATTTTGAGGTTCTTCAAAGTTTTGGTAAACTTTTTAACATAGCTGTTGATTTCCGTAGTTATAATTGATATTTTATATCATAATTTTGATGTTTACACTTTATTATTGTGTTTTTCAAATCTGTATTTGAACTTAGTTTACATGTTGCGTAGAGAACAAATTTCTTCTACGGCATTGCTCCTTTAAGATATTAAAAACTTGTTTGGGTATTTTGCTTAAAAGCAGCTTTTCTTTCCTTTTCTTAATCATTAATATACAAAATTGTTATAAATAAAAAAGAGCTACCAAAACAAACCATTTGTAATTAGGATAGAACTGAAATCATTTTTGACACTGTTTTCTAACCAATAATCTTGTTATATAATATTGGAATTTCAGTGCCCATATTTTATCCAATGAGCTCGGTAAGTGTTTTTGAATAATCATATGATGTGTATTGCAAATTCTGTGTACTTTGTGCAGATATTGTCAAGTTGGAAATGCAGTTGCAGTCCCTGTTGCACGAGCTTTGGGATATGCTTTGGGATTGGCAGTTCGAAAGCTCAGCGGGGATGAACCACTCATGACTCTCCCCCGAAATTTTTCTCATTCAAATTATTTTCAATTCACAAAAGTTTGGCCTCTTGAGACTGAAGAATAATGATTCTCTCCATCATCACCTATAACGTACTCTCATAAGTTGCGGCATTGACATGAAATTTTCCTTTAATTCTTTTTGTCAAGGCTCACTGTGCATCCTAGCGGAATGGATAGGATTTAACCATTTTTTCAACTCAGAGTGCCCAATTTATTTGCCCTTTTTCTAGATCAAGTCCACTAGATTTCGACATGTCCGTTTGCATTTGTTCTTGAACCCTCGGTTCATTTAAACTTAAACCCGAATTGGTGTCTTGTTCCTATGTTGTATTTATTATTGTCAAGCTTGTAATTGTTATCATTCATTATTTGCCAGGATAATTAATTTGATGCACATTGTACTAGGCAATAATACTAACCTATATGGAAAACTTGCAACATGTCACTTCTTTATCTTTGAAGAATCCAAAAGTAAAAATAAATGTCGTCCCCGGGAACGTAGAATCCAGTCTTACGTTGAAGGGGTTCTGGAGCTCGCATGTCATGGAAAGCAGCTATGCAAGAAATGCGAAGTCTCACAAAGTTTGGCAATTTTTATGCGTTTTGTGAAATATGGCAAAACGCAGACTCTTGTTGGTTCACAAATCGGCCTATATTCAAAAGTGAGCTTGATCTGCTTGATCTACTAATAAAGCTTAATGAGCTTGATCTGCTTGATCTACTAATAAAGCTTAATGAACTTGTTATTTAAGTAGGGAATTCAAAAACTTTGAATTTTTTTGTTCTAAAATTCATTTTTTTAGAAAAAAGAAATAAAAATTCTAAAAAAATAGATTTGTTATGAAAGTAAGAAAGTGTGAAAAAAAGAGCCACAAGAATCTTTTAGGGATATATGGATGGCCCAAAAGATCTCTTGTTATACAAGGAATATATCTCTAAGTGGATAGCCATGTTTACTAGCGATTTCCTAACACTCCCCTTGGGTATCCATTACAAATAGCATATGCCTCATTGAAACCTAACTAGCAAAAACCCTATGGGACAAAAATACTAGCTAGGGAAAAGAGTACATTATTCATGTGTCAACTTATAGCGCATGCCAACTTATTAGATGATGCTTTTACAATAAAACATCATCTTCATAGCTAATAAACAATAGTTTTAAGTCATTAATTCACATGCCAATTTATTAGACAATGGTTTTACAATAAAAACATCGTCTTCATAACTAATCAACGACGATTTTAAGTCATTAATTCACATGCCAACAACTTGGGAACTTATTAAACGGTGATTTTAACAATGAAATCGCTTCTTCATAAGCTCACGAATGAAACCAATCTTGGTGAGCTTGTCAACCTCCTTTTTTATGTCAGCGTACTGTTTTGCATCATAAGCTCAGCGTTTAAGATGGGATTGGTACTTGGACGGTGTGATATGATCTCGGGACTATTCTGGGCATGCTTTCATACGACCCTTTGAAGACCTCAACATTCTCACGTAGGAAGTTTATCAGGTCAACACGAATCTGAGGTGGTAATTGGGCACTGATCTTGACGACCTGATATGGGTGACTATCATCAATTGACACTTTGAAGAAGGGTCTCTTCATCCTTTTATATCATTCTAGATGACCTAGTCCTTCTCGGAGTAGAACTCTAGAACAACCTAGCCCTCATTGAACTAGGCTTCCAAAACAACCTAGTCCTCCTCGAACTAGGATATATTGTGTTTTTCTAAAAAACAAGGTTCATTTAGACATCTAGATTATCAAAAGTTCATTTGATAGGCAACGAAAGACTTTAAATAAAACCATAAAGCCTAAAAACAAAACCTTTCAAAGGATCTTAAGGTTCAAAGAGTTGATGTGAATTGCAAACTATTATACTTGAAATTAAAGATATGAAGGTAGATAGAAGCTCACCCTTGGAGCGCAACTTGAGTCCAACCCAAGTATTCAACCTAGTGATGGTGGTAGGATCCACTTTCTACTTATCTTCCAAGCCACAGAGTAGTGACCTCCGAAGTCTCCACACCAAGCTTTCTCTTCGGAATGAAGATGATACACAAGAGAAGTATGTGGTGCTAGAAACACTTCTCTTGGGACCGATTTTAGCTTGCCTTGGGAAGAGATTTGATGCTTTCTCTTACTTCCTCCTCACCTTTGCAAGACTTAAAACCATAGGGAGAAAGATAAGCTAAGTGGTGAATATATAGAACACATGGGAGAACCCTGAGGTTCTCCCTCTCTCTGCATTTGGACGACATAGGGGGTGGGGGTGAGGTAGGCTTTCTCTTAGGCCTCTTGGTCCAACTTGAAGTTAAAAGGATCAGACTCCGGCAATTGTGAAATGACAGGGGCATCACCTCCACCTACTAGTATATCAGCATCTATTTCAGGGTCAACAATTAAGGGTGCCGATAGGTTCACAGCCTTAACTTGCGACGCACTCTGTTCCTTCATTGCCATCGACTTCAAGGAAGGCAAAGTAGGGAAAACTGCAGTATCAACTGGCCCGGGATCACCAGTTTGCCGTACACCATGAATATGAAGCCTAACCTGAGCCATCAGATTACCAATAGAACCCAGCATATGGTTCCGTCGATTCTTGCATGGAGACGATGCAAATCAACTAACTCCTCCTTTTTGCGGTGATTCACACGGACATTGGGGTGCGATGAGGATGGCCGCCAAGGCCCATCACTTGGGAAAAATGATAACTACCTCGCAATGTAGATTGAGGAGAGGAGGAATGTTAGATCGAAGTCCCAATTCGTTCACCAAGAAGATTTGTAAACTGATGCAAAGATAACGAATTAAAACGCCCATGCCCTCATGCGCCTTGACATAGACTTGGGTCGAGTGACAAATCGAACCACAAGCAAAGCAGTACTCTGAGAGGTATTCATATTGAAAATCCACCACCCTCTCCCTAACTTTCGAAAAGTGACCGGTATTCGACGTATGAGAGGTAACTCCACATCAAACTGAACCCAAATACGAATTAATCGACCCACACAGTCATCCCCATCATGATTATACACACACATCAGGTCACCCAACTTTGCTCCAATGGATTTCACAATAGCAACTGTCATACAGAAACCCGGGACGCCATGTAGTTCAACCCAAAAAGTCCCGAACTTTAACGGCAAGGTATGAGGACTACCATCATCTAGCACTTCCGCAAGCAAGACTAAAGAGTGACGGTAAGCCCACAGTTCCATATCAACAACTCGGCGTTGGTCTCGATCACAGACAAAACGAACCCAGAAGCGGATCTATGCAATCTCCTTAATCGAAATATCCTCCTTGCCTTTCAACAGACTGGAAAAGTTCTTAATAGACGCATCTCTATTCACGTCATGAAGCGTGATAACTTTGGCAACAAGGCCATAAATAAATCCCACAAAATGATCGGAAATTGCAGAAGCTACAATGACCACACCCACCTTCTCACGATTTGTAAGCATTAACTGACGTTTGAACGATTGACCAATCTCATCAAGTGATGGCCCCCTTGCTGAGGTCGGGGTACCCATCCCAACAAGAAAACCAAAACCAAAACTTCCGTTAGACAGACACAGCCAAATCCAAAAACAATGGCCTCTAATTCCAAGCCAAACCGAAGGGAAAAAGGAAAACGAAGTCCAAACCCTAGCCGTAAGGGGAGTCCAGACCAAAACCCTAAACTGTTTCAGAGCCTCCCAACCAACACGACAAATAGAAACCCAAACAAACTAGGAAGCCAAAGTACACCAGGAAACCGAAACATATAGCACGAGAAAACAATCACATCAGAAAACCAAAGAGAAGCAGAATAAACTTTTTGTGAGAACCACGGAAAAAACCCTAGTCGTCAAAAACTCTCTTAATAGAAACGAGAGAGCGACCCCTCTGTCATTAAATTAATACAAATTTATAAATAAACCCAACCCTAGATATGTATTTATAAAAAAACCCAAGCACTATTTAAACATAGAAACACACCCAAAATCAACAATTGTATATTTTTTGGGTATGTTTATAAATGGGTTTTGAGTGTGTGTAATGATGGGTTTTGGGTGTGTTTATAAAGTGTTTTGGGTGTTGGGTTTTTTTATAATTTCAGCCCCCATTTTGGGTGTTTTAGTGAAACTCCCATAAATTACTAACCTAAATGGGGGCTGAAATTATAAAAAAATCTAACACTCAAAACACTTTATAAACACACCCAAAACCCATCATTACACACACTCAAAACCCATTTATAAACATACCCAAAAAATATACAATTGTTGATTTTGGGTGTGTTTCTATGTTTAAATAGTGTTTGGGTTTTTTTATAAATACATGTCTATGATTGGGTTTATTTATAAATTTGTATTAATTAAAAGCCTATCTATGTTATTATGTAACTTTTCTACTTGTTTAGTTAATGTTTTTTTTTTTTGGGTACTAATTGTATTTTTTACACTTCTATTGTTAATTGCTCAATTATCTCTAATGATTGAAGTTCTTCTTATTTTGGCTTACTGTATATAAGATCTATGAGATCTTTTATTTCTTTCTTCCTAGGAAATCTTTGCATTTTTTTTTATATTTATTATCTTCTAATTGAGATGTTATATAATCTAAGTTTTGTCTAATTGTCTTTCAATTTTTTCCACCGTAGCTCTGCCCTTACGGTTTTGTTTATGGAAACTCACGAGCAACTCCCTGGTGGGTCACCCATCTTAGGATTGCTCTAGGCCCAACTCGCTTACTTCGGAGTTCCCATGATTCCGAAGTCAGTGAGCTCTCAAAAGGCCTCGTGCTAGATGAAGATGGGCATGTACATATAAGGCACATCTCCCCCTCTCCGTTGGTCGATGTGGGATATTACAGTCCACCCCCCTTAGGGGCCCGACGTTCTCGTTGGCACACTCGCACCACACGGCACAGTGGCTCTGATACCAAATTGTCACATCCCCGAGATCAACTCTGTCGTAGCATGATATGTCTGCTTTGGGCCCCCATCTCTGCCCTCACGGTTTTATTTCTGGGAACTCACGAGCAACTTCTCAGTGGGTCACCCATTCTGAGATTACTCTAGCCCCAACTCGCTTAACTTCGGAGTTCCTATGACTCTGAAGTTAATGAGCACCCAAAAAGCCTCGTGCTAGATGGAAATGGACATGTACATATAAGGCATATTACCCCCTTTCCATTGGTCAATGTTAGATGTTATAAATTAAAAGATCAATAATACTATTTTCTAAGGGATTATTAATGCTATGTAATAGATGTCTATGTTCTTTTTATGGAAAATAACAAACTAATGTATTATTATCTAAAGTTAATTTTCTCTTTTGTTGTTCACTAATTTCCAAATTAAGATACTCTATCAT